GCAGGATAAAAATAAATATTATTATCATTATCATTATCAATATTATTATATGAAAATCCATACTTCATGAATTCATCACAGTATTTTCTCTTTTCATCTGTTTGAAGAAATGAAGACTGTGCCTTCTCATGATTTTGCACTACTAAAGTATAGACATATCCTGAGAAATTCTTGGTGATCAGTTAATATCCACAGTATGTTTCAGCTTTTTGACTGTGCTGGTTTTCAACCACTGATCCATATCTGATAATACACAAACTGAAAAATTAATTTAAATTTTAAAATGATGACAAAGAGAAGAGACATAGAGATGACCTGGAAGAACTCACTCACTGAGGAGCATCTGCCACTCATTCATTCATGTGGGAGGACAGAGCAGAGAGGATTTCCTACAGCTGCTGGCTGAGTCTCAGTGGGCCCAACTCTCAGTGATGCCAGGCTTGCCTCTTTTGTCCAGAGCTTGCCATGGGATTGAACCTTCAGGAGATGGGGAGGCTACAGTGGGAGGTTCCAAGCAGCAGACGCACATTCTTCCTGCTTCCTGCTGGGAGCGCACCATCTGCCATTGTATCATGCCTTACACTGTTGAGATATGTGCCTTTTCCTGCTATTATTTAAAAAAATGTGTGCCCCTAAATGTCCTGGATTGTACTCCTGGGAAGTACATGGACCCCAGGTTGGGAATCGATGATGATGATGATGATGATGATGATGATGATGATGATACCACTACAGGTTCACACAAATCATTTGTAAAGTGGGTAAGCTAGCAAATACAGTGGGCCCTTGCTATCCATGGGGGATCCGTGTTCTGGACCCCACCCCCACAGATAGCAAAAAATGCAGGACCTCAAGTCCTGTTGTCTCCAATGAGCACATGCACACACTGCCATTTTAAGAGCTGGGGCTTGCCGTCCATGGAGGCTCAAATCCATGGATGGCAAGCCTGCAGACAGAGCAGCACACTGTACTGATATTACTGGTCAGTTGGCAATTATTAATACAATGTTATATTTGTATCTGATCCTGCTTTGAAAGTTGTCACAGTTTCTTTGCAGTAGGGAGTTCCATATTCCAGCTTTTCACAAGCAAAATATAGAGATGGACTTCGAAGACATTGTGGCTCAGCTTCTCTATTTCCGGCAGAATCTATTTAGGATATTTGCTTTTAGTACAGTCTTAAAGGTGGATGAGTAATGACGAGAAAATGAAGGCTCCCTTATGGTAACAACTCTTTTGACCCAAGAGACCATCTTTATATACACAATTAACATCTGTTGCTAACTTGTCACTTCCCAGCAAGATATTTACCTGGTTTCTCTGACAACAGTTAACAGGGCAGAATCATTTTCCATCAAAGATTTGAAGATCACCCTGCTGATGATCACATGGAAACTTTGATCATTATCCATTTTGTTTAATTCATAAACCAAATAGCTCTGCTATTCAATTAAGAATTCATACAATGAATTACTCCTCCCACCATTAGGGACGTTATCACACTGGGTCTAAAGCGGCACCATCCCTGCATCATGCCAGCATCATGCCGGCTCCCTGGATCCTGTGATCACACGACGTCGCGGCAAACCCCGCCCCTTTTTGCATCATCTCTGCATCATGCCGGCATCATCCCAGCTCTTTTGAATTCCGGGATCTTCAGGAATTACAGCTGCCATGGCCAGAATCAACCCAGCACCAGTCCGGTATGATGCTGCTTTCTTTCTGACGACAGGGGTCCATTCCAGAATGGTGCTGGGTTGATTCCAGGCAGATTTTCTTGCCGCTTTGAGACCCTAGGTGTGATAACGTCCTAGGTGTAACAATCAATTTGTTGCCTGAAAATGGCAGACTATTTCCTTGATCAGCTGCCTCAATCATTCTTTTTTGCATAATCATATCACACTTGCTATTGCTTACTTGAATGAACCTCTAGTGAAGAAAGTATTAGGATGGTCTAGAAGACAGGCAAAGACAAAGTTTTTTAAAAATTCCTAATAGAAAGCCAGGAGGTGACTATCACAAGCAGAAAACAGGCCCTGGATTCAGGAAGATATTATCGCCAGAAATTCAATTCTCTTGAAACTCACTGGTGCAAAGGCAAGCAAAAGAGAGTAGGCATAATACTTTTAAAATAAACCAGATGAGATTTTGTACTTACCCAGGGAGACTAACTCAAATAACAAGAGGGCAGCAAAAAGGTTTCTGGATGAAAAATGGTACTTCATGTTTCCTGAAAGAGAAGAAATATTGTGTTGGTTTTTTTTTCATTTCAGACCTATTGTATTTAACAGATTTGTCTTCTCATCAATGTCATCAAGTGAAACTTAGACTCATGGCTCAGAATGTATTTTTTTAAGCCTGTGGACTCGAAACAAGCAAAAAAAAAAACCACAAGAATTTTTTTTTCATGATGTTGGAAATAGTAAGGCCAAAGAGATTTCCAACATTTTGGTTATATTTTGAATAGATTTAGTAAATGTAAGGTTATATCTGGTATTTTCTCTCTATCCCTCATGTTACTCAACAAATACGTATGTTTAAACACACACTACAGGCTCAATTCTGATTGAAATTGTCATTATTCTAATCTGATACAATCCTCTGTATGTTACCTGTCCTTTGCTGCTGTGTCTATTAGTCTCAAAACACACATACACACAAAATTAGGATTTTGCTGCTGTTTCAGCAGGGCTTTGTACCCTGCTAAATAGTAAAGAACAAGTGCCTCACCCTTCAGAAGAGGGTGATTAGGTGAACCAGTAAGACTCAGAAATCAGTCCACAAATTGGCACCAACCTACAAGAGATTGGTGACTGCTCCATTACAACTGAGGGTAAATTAATTACTCAAAGTCCATCCTGATATACAGTTGAGTGTGATAATGAGCCCTGGATGGTAGTATGTGTGCAAAGCATGGAATGGGCTCCTTTGGCAGAAAATATTTAGAAGTCTGTACTGATGCAGGTGTAAATAATGAATACCACAATTAAAATTGCATTTGCAGAACAGTACAACTAGCCTGGCTTTCATTCTAGGAGCAACACAGAAATTGTTCCTCCTGAATTGCATGAAGTGACCTCCCCCCTAGATATTAATAGTCCCAATCACACTTAGTGTCATGTTCCTATGAGTCTCATAGGAATATGACAACAAAGTGTGATGGATGTAGAAGGGAGAATCAAAGGAAATTGTAGATTGAGGGGGTAAGTAACTGAAACAGGAAAATTAGGTTGTTTATGACTATTTACGATGGTGTCTTCCTTTCCTGAGCAATGGTGGGGAGATAGGAATTGAGAAGGGCAAACTTCAAAGCGCATCTGTGAAGTAAGCAAATGGTACAGGCTACAAGATGGAGGGGGGCTGGACAAAGGAATTTAAAGTGTTATGTAACTTGAAAAAACTCAGAGTTGATTCTAACCCTTATGGGGTAGTTTTGCGTGTCTTAGAATCCAGAATAAAAGCAATAGTTAATTTTCACTACAATGCTAGCCTAGTTCTTTAAGTCTTCAGCTACCAAACATGACAGTTAGTCCTTTTCCATTATTTTTGAACCCTGATATGTTGATCATAAGGGGTTGATGATGTAGCTATGCAGCCATGAAGAGATCTGAAGGATTATTCCAATGGTTCTGTTTGTTCTCAACAGAGATATCCCATAGAATAAGAATAAGAGCTTAATTCTCATACACTTTTGAGCATGCCACCTGCCACCACTCCATACCCTTCAGGTCAATCAAGACTGCTTTAGTTATGCCATCATTTGTGCAATGAATTTTCTGAGAACAAAAGGCACGATGAGTAATGATTAGTTGCTGCACCCTATCTATAGGCAGCCTTTTTTCTTGATAGCCATTACAGTCCAAGTTTGAGAAGCTATTGGAATCACCATAAATTTCAATTTATTTGGCATGGTTATTGAGTACACAGATTAAGAGGGGGATTTTTCTTTTTCGTTTTTTAAATCATTTGTATTAAACATACACATAATCACAAATACTGCATATATCACAAACATGCACAAACATCAACTTACTACAAAACAAACTAAACACTAAAATGGAAAAAAACCTCAATCACAACTGACTTAAGAGGGAGATTTTTCTTTGTCCACAAAAGGTTTAATCTAATTCTGATTTACATTGGGTTTTTAAAATTTTGGCCAACTGGACCCTTAGAATGGGGTGGGTTATTGGTTTAAATAAAATAAAAGAGACTGGGATTTTCAAGAACAAAATTTCAAAAAGAATCTTAAGGCATAAAATATAAAAGAGGCAAAAAAAAAACCCCAGCTAAAAATGAATGAGAATTGCATAAAGAAAACTACTTGTTAGTTTCAGCTGGGATTGGGCAATAAATAAATAAATCCTAGTGGACAGCATCTAGTAGAAGGCACACAGTACTTCTGTATAGACTTTTTATACCCTTAGCAGCATAGCAGTAATGTGTTGGGAAGAACATTAGCATGCTAATCAACATATATAAATGTTCCACTATTGTTGTTGTGGGTCTTCAAGTCATTTCTGACTTATGATGCCCCATAAGATGGACCCATGGCATTTTTCTAGCAAAATATAATCAAGAGTGTGTGTGTCACTGCCTTCCTATGAGGTTGAAAAAATATGACCTGCACTAAAGGTCACCCAGTGGACTTCCATGAATGGGGGACATTTGAACCCTGGACTAGAGTCCTAGTACAACACTCAAACCCATACACCATACAGGTTCTCTAATACTGTACTACTGTATTTTATGGCTTGGTCTCTAGGTGTAAGAAAGTGACTGCTCACACAAGCCATTCCTGAAATTTTCCTGGAGGTATAATGGAATGTTTAAGAGCCAGTGTGGTGGAGTGGTTAGAGCAGGGGTAGGCAACCTTTCCCCTTTAAGGGCCGAGGGACTTCAGCTCCCAGAAGCCTCAGCCATGTTGGCCAATAGTCCCATGTTGGCCAATAGCTCCTGGGATTCTGGGAACTGAAGTCCCTTGGCCCTTAAAGGGGAAAGGTTGCCTACCCCTGGGTTAGAGTATTGGACTTTGACTCTGGAGACCAGGGTTCAAATCCCTGGTGAGCCAGGAGAGTCACACTCTCTCAACCTCAGAGGATCGCTATGACAAATTACCTTTGAAGAAATTTGCCAAGAAAACTCCACGATAGGGTCACCTTGAGGTCACCATATGTCAGAAATGAGTTGAAGGCACACAAGCAACACAAGTAAAGTGCAAAGAAGCACTGAGTTGCCTTATATTTATGCTCCTTCTCAATGACTAAAACCGACCAAAACCATCCCACTCCATAAAGATGAACTCCAAATCACAGGTAGTTACTATAGGACATCCAAGGAGGAATGAATTTATTATGGAGGATTTTTTGTTAAAATATAAATTATGTGCATATAGTTTTACGATTTTGCCAGACACTAAAAAAGGAAAAAAAGCATAATTGGAAGGGCTATTAATTTTAACCAAAACAAAAAAAGAACAGAACACAAAATGAAGTCAAACAAGGAAATAGAAAAGTGGAAGTGATAGCTGAAACAAAAGGAGGGAGGCATACAATGACCTCTTGGACTGGTATGGCCACACATGTATTGTTGTTTTTTCTGTACATGAGGGGAAGGGGTGCAAGTCCAACATATTAGTCTTACCATAAATTTTGCACCAATCTCACCCCTGCCAATTTTTTTATTATGTGGGGGGGGGG